AATATCAAAGCTTTGACTTACAGGATTCCTGCCAAGCGCTGCTGGAGAACAATTTGAAAGAATAACAAATTTGAAATATTTCTGCTGCCAGAACTCTCTCTGTCCCAGGAAGCCATGTTGATCCTTCCATCTGCCCATCGGTCTGGCCTTTGCTTTTAATGAGTAAGTTGTCAGAAATTGTGTTCCATATGTGTGTTACAAACCCTCCACTTGAATTTTTGAGATTATACCAGCGACAGTTTGTGATGGTGACACCAGAAGTTTTATACACATTTTGGTGTGAAAGAGGTTAACCTGAAATTACACACCTCAAATTTGTGCTGTGAATCCAAACATTGCATAAGTCTTTAATTAGATTCTAGTGGCGATCTCAAAGCTACCTTGGTGAATATGTTGGGCCAAGTTTTGGGGGAAATGATGCACACGACATCTAGAATATTTCCATTTGATTGAATGGTGCAGCCATAGAAAACATGGAGTCTTGGATTTAAACATTTAAACAGTGTAAATAAAATACTAGATAGCTTTAATGAAGATATTACAAGCAAAGATCACTAAAAACTATCTCTGTTTCTTTAGTATGAGCATTTCATAAAAGATACGTGGGCTACATGAATTGAGCTATTCTCCAATGTGTCAGATGTCAGTTAAGTGTTGCGGGAGGGAAAACCCTCAGACTGGGCCAGAGACTTAATGGGGCGCTGCTCTCACAATCTGAATTCTTCCATGTAACTCAACCAATCTACTTGCAAAGGCCAATTGTATTCATGTGTCTAGTCTTATATTTCATCACGACTTTCCGAAGGCCTGAGTGCTAGTGCTAGCAACATAGCAAGCAAAAGCCTCATTGTCCCTCGGTTGGATGTTCAGTATTAATTCAGAATCATGGCCTTCACCTGAGCCTCTGACACAGCCTGCTAGCAACACTGTTGTGTTGGCCACAGTCTGAGAACAACAAGGCTGAGCAAGAAGACTGCAACATAAAGTTCAGTATAACCCGATCAATAAACATCTTAAATATTATCCTAGTATTTAGTAGTTATCAAGCTAGCCACATTGTATTAAAAACAGCTAAACTGTCTTCTTGCCTCAGTTTCACAACAAATGTTTTCCAGATAGACTTCCATAATACCAAGAACTGATGATGCAACGTTTGTTTATACTGTATTACTATCCTGTGACCTCTGCACTCCCCCCTATCTCTTCCCGGTGCTCTTCCTGTTTACCTGTGACCTTTCAACCTCACAGACACAGATAGCTTTTATGTGAAGATGTGTGTGAACATTATTGCTAAAAAAAGAAACAAACTGAGCATGCTCTCAGAGTGCTGTTTTATCTTCCAGTATTCACATACTGTAGACTAGAAGGTTTTTTATCCAAGTTGGGTTTAAATCAAGGGCATCTGGACTTGGTTGAAGATACTTGAGAACTGAAGAAGCCGCTTAGATGAGAGGTGGAACGTCTTTGTGTATCTTCTGTGATTTTGACCCACCTTGGATAACTGTGACATGGGTGACTGAGAATCTTCACAGACAAGGTTATCTATCCACCAACAGCTGCTTTCACAGGCCAGTCAGCCCTGCTTTGTTAAAATATTCTTGCTGAAAACACAATCCTCTGTCTTTATTGTTGGTCCAGAGATATTATGACTCCTCTTCAATACAGTGCGAGCGTCAGTGCAAGTGAAACATGATAAAAGGTTCTTCTCTTTGCATTTCACGGCAATCCTGCAGTTATTAAAGGTAGCTGGTTGTCAGCGGGTGACTGGGAACGCTGTGGCCTCAACCATCTAATTGGGATCCAGGAAGACAAGGTGCATCGGGGTCCAGCAGGGCTTGAGTGTGGAGATAATTGCTGCTGTTTTTCAGTGAGACGGTCTGTGCTGAAGGGTTATTCTCATCAGGTAGACCTTACTGTATATTTAACATGACTGTATTTTCTAATTTAAAGAGGACTGTTGAGCTACATCCTTGCACATGTCTGATCATATTTAAGAAAAAACAAATGTGCCAAGAAAACTTGGGTGTTTCTTAAAATCCTCTCATTGCTTCCTGCTTCCCTTCACTCTGCGTCAGATAATTGACCTCTCCAGCTCTCACAGCAGCGCGTGAAGCCTTGCACACAACTTGTTGCTCATCCAACAGGAAAAAACAAATGGGGCGGAAACAGCTGCCTCTCACCACCCGCTCTACCTGTTTCTCTGTGTCTGAATAGTCTCACCAGCTGATTATGCAATATACCATGCATCCCCCACACTACTTCACCTACTCACTATATAATAATATTATGACATTGCTGGCCACATATGTTTCAACATCAGTTTTCAGCCTCTCGGTAATCCATCAAGGTTCAACAATTCCCTAACTGGATTTTTTGACCCTGTGTTAGTTCAAAAACAGTATCTATCTGGTGGTAGAAATTTCCAAAAGTGCTTAGTGTTTCCTTGGTTCAAAATCTGCTGTACCTGTCAGCTAAATGTGATGGAATTGCATTTACAAGTTCAAAGATAGCTGATTCACCAACGAAGATCCAGTGAGAATAAAACATGTGGAAGATGAAAGAATGAAAAGCAAGCTGCTGAACAACACACACCAGACATGAGATACAAACAGGGTTACAAAACATTGGTAAAATGTGATTTGTCGCGATGTGTTTAGCGTTAGTGAATAGTAGATCTCTGCTCAAACATAAAAGCAGGGCATTACACTACTCAACAAGCGAGTCTCTGTGAGGCTGTACATAGTGCTTTGAGCTAAATGCTACTGACGGCATGCTGACATGCTGAGAATGACAATGGTAACATGCTCAAGATGTTAGTGTAGCGTGTCAGCATGCGATGAAGATTGTTAAGGTCATGGTATATCTAGAAGTCAAGCATAACTGGCCTTGGTTTAGGTTCTTGAAGACATTTCACCTCCAATCAAAAATGCTTCATTCATTGATTCAGTTTTTGATCTATAAAATGTGAACAATTGCCTGTTACAAGATCTGAGAGCCCAAAACGACATTTTCAAATGCCATGTCCAACTAGTCTAAAATCCAAAGATATGCAGTTAAAAATTATATTTCAAAAATCCGCATATTTTTAAATTTGAAAAGCCCAAAGCAGAGAATGTTTACAATTTTTTCTTAAACAACTGTTATGATTAATCTTTATTAATTAAAGTTGTTGCTGATTCATTTTCTCAATCAACTAATCAATTCATTTTGTAGTTCTAATTAGCACGAAGTACAGCTTAGGGGACTGTCATCAATTTTGCAGGTATTGGACTAACTAAAATTTTACATGACAATATAAAAGTCAGGGGATCACTAATTCATCCTGAGGGGTCCAAATTTGAAATGGCAATCCATCGAGCAATCCATCTTTGGGAGGTGTTGTTAAGCATGATGATTTACGTTCACATGGTTACCCATTTATATTTTGGAGTCTTTTGCAGTTTTTGTACACTGAGCAGAGGGTCCAAGTATTCAAACTAAGAATCTCTAACTGTTAAAAACATACATTTCTAGCTGAGATCCCTGAAGTGAGAAAAAACAATGCATCCATCTCCAAAGCAGGAAATCACTCGGCAACATGGCGTGGTCTCCTTCAATGAAAAAGCTGTTACAGTTCAGCGTTGTTTGCAGTTGGACTTGCTGATCAAACAGTGAGCTGTCTTGGCTGTCGGTGTCAGTCCTTGGAGCAGGCCTCACAGAGGACCATCTGGCCTCTGCTGTGAAAGCTGAAAGCAGCTGAAATAGCCTTGTGAGAATATGATGGATCTCTGCCCACTCAATCCCAATCTGCCAGGAAAATGACACTAGAAGCGTGAAAAATGTCCACCGACACAGCCTTTTCCTGGATTAGGTGACGGGGCAGAGGGAAAATGGGAAGCGGCCTCTCGGCGTGCTGTTTTTAGATAAAAGTGTAAGGGAACCTGCAGGTGGGATTCCCATTAATGCAGGCGTATATACACTTTGTGTGTAGTATCAAGTCACTTCAGCTGTGTATCTCATGTGTTACACTGTGGTGGGAATGTTTTTGTTTACAGGATACAGAATAGTGAGAAAGTGCACCGGACAGCCGAGTCGAGAGAGGAAGTTTGCCCGGCAGACAAATAGCTTGACATTTACGCACACAATCTGTGTGGCCAAAACCAACACAGCATCAGTCCCTGCTTTATTGGAACTGAGTGCATATAGTCCAACATCGGTTAAAGTAACATCACCCTGTAGACTCCCAGATGGCCTGTGGGAGTGGAGCAGCATTTTGTTAAATCCACTACGCAGCAGAAGAGAAGCTATGATTAGACTCATCTAGGTCCTATTTCAAGTTCAATTACAACAGGAACCATCTCTCTTTTCAGGAGCGCTATTATATTGTAGCTTGATGACACATTTTCCAAAGAGTATGAATGTACTCGACCTGTAGAGGAGGATCTGAAACGCACCTTCCTTCTGAGCATATTTTATTGCTAATCTGTGTATACTTTCACTTGAGTAGGGTTTGTTAATGCAGAACTTGTAACAGTGTTTTAAATTGCAGTATTTCTAATTTCAATAAGATTACTTTTTCTTTCACTATTAATCACAAGCACTGACGCTTACAGGCGTCATTCTTCCTCTTCATGTCTAGTGTCACATTCCTCCTCTTTATTTAGTAACTGTGCACGGGTAGCCACGAAACACATTCAGTCAGTAATTGTAGTGATTATACCAAAATATGGAGTTTTGTTGCTCTATAGAACCTTTTAGGATTAAAATAAATTACACATTTCGGGAAGCACTAGACCAAACTGTATGATTATATTCTGCCTCTTTCTTGTGTCAAACAGCATCATAATGTTAGGTTACATGTTTTTTTTTCTTCAGACATCATTCAACAATGATGTTGAGGCCGCTTAGAATATTTCTTGTGACTGACATGTATAGATCACAGACTTAATGTAACAGTAAAGTCGTGTCAGTATAAACAAAACTGACAATTTATAATAAATGAGACACACAACATGGTCTGTTTAATAAAAGTGGTTATTTTAATTTCCTGTTCCCTCCATCGTATTTTCTACAGTTCATCACTCTCTTCAACCATAAAACTTGTGCTCATTGTTTTACTCAAACATTTCCTTTTGTTTGTGTTGCCAGTTTTGTGCTGGAAGCCAGTGAGAGACACAGGGAAGAGATTGCTTACATTAATGGTCCCAGTTCACTGCAACAACAGGATTTTATCTACTGGAATAGATCAGCAGCACACAACACTGAGAGAAGAGAAATAAAACACACATTTAAACACCAAAAACCTACATATACTTTGAATTTACACACACACACACACACACACACACACACACACACACACACACACACACACACACACACACACGTTCGCTCAGCTTTGATTGAGAACAACCAGACAGTATCACCACAAACCAACAAACACCAAAGTAACATTACCTACAGTACAAAAATCAAAAAATATTTCAAAATATACAATTATTATTTACAGCTCAAGTATACAACCTGTCACTCTTACTATAGATACTCAGTGTGAATTTATCAGAATGTACATCAATATGTACAGATTAAATATATTGTCTTAAATACTATAAATATAACTATGGGTTTGGTCACATAAAGACTAATTGCACAGTTAAATAAATACACTCTTACCCTACTTTTGTTGAGTTGATCAATCGCAGCGTCTTATCTTAACCTCCAAAAGTTGCTTTGTAGTACATAATGCAACACAGCCGACACATGGACAAGACAGAGAGACCCTGGAGTCGGAGTCTTTGCTTTCAATAATAACAATCAAATATAAATACTAAATGCCAATACCTTATTACTGAGCAATTTTGAACCAATATGAGAAGACATTTTGTTTCCACTGCGCAGAATATTTCATTAGTGCTTGAAAGTGTGGGAACTCCTTGGTGAAACGTGGCTGTGCGAATTCATGTATTGGAATAAGCCACAGAGTTTTAAACATGCTTTCCAAAAGGCTATATAAACTCATGTGTTTTGATTGTGCTCTCATCCATATGTAACTTAGGTTCGTCACCCCTGACATTTCCCATATACTTATTGTGCAGATCAATCTGTAGCTACAGAAAATTTGCAGAACAAACTAATGGTGCAGTTAGATTCTTGAGAAAATGGCAGTGCATTTCAGTGAGCGGCCCCTTAAAGGGTGCAGGGATCAGACCATAAGTAAGTTTCATCATCCAGTTCACCCACACTGACTCACCGACTGGTGAAATTGTGCTCAACATTCCTGTGCTTCCCTCTATGTGCTTTAACTCTAAGCCAGCTAAGCCAAAGCTGCAGGTGAATACAGGTGGGTGCCTTCGGGTTATGTGCCATTTGGGTTGCAAGACAACTTCTTGTACATGTCGGCGCTGTATGTTTTTGCATGTTAAATTTGAGCAACTTGTATCTAGTGTTTAACACGTTAAAAGCGTGTTTTCATGTTTGTTTGAAAACATCTTAAAACATTCAAGATAGAGAGGAACCGCTTTTCCACTGATTTAGGGAGAGACCAGAGTGGAATGTTATTTTGTCTTTACAGTGGTTTACATAGTCATAGTGCTATATCACTCCCTTTAACGCAGACTTTCTCTATTTAAACCATCTTAATATTATCATAATGAAAGATAGATTATATAAAGGGGTTTATGGTAGATTACTAGTGAATGATATTCATCACAGGCAGAAACCTGAGCAGATGCAAGAGCCTTTGTTAGAGGCCATATGACCACATATGACAACAGTGCAGGCATGGGTCACCACTTCATGTACAATAGGGAGGATCAAGCAGTGACAGACAATGGCATGGATGCATCAATCAACGCTGGCATAATAACAGGGCAAACACATATCAGCCTGTTTTTAACGTCATAAGTCCACATGAAACTAGGTGCCTTTCGTGGACATTCAGCCCACTATCTCTCTATATAAATATTGCTAACCAATACATAATCAGTGACAGCATTCTTGTAATTAATGTTTCCGCTCCACATATTTTGTCAAATCTGTACTTAATAAACAACTCCAGGGTCTCCGTCTAATTAAGGTGCTGGAGTGAATCAGACGAGACATTGGTCCAAACTCTACACAAACGCGCAACATAATCAAGAAAAGTAAATGACAAAAACATAAGGCAAACAGACAACAGAGATGCCATTCAGGCACCAAATAATGTGACTGACTGTGCTTTGCACTACATCTGTTCAGTCTCAAGTATTGGTGTTGTCTCAGGGAGGGGCCACTGAGACAGGGGGAGCTGTCATTGGCTCATCTGCTGGCCAGCAGAGACACCCAGTGGATAAATCTGTGTATTACCACTTATTCCAAACATTTATATCGCAGTACATTTCCACATTATACTCCTAAACATACGTAGTCATACAAGATTATACATTTAAAAAAAGGCTTTAGTTTTCACACCTCAGTTCACAAAAAGACATCAAAGTGTAGTTTGTAGTGCTGATGAAATGATGTCTGCAGTGGTCACAATTTGAGGAATGCACAACAATTAAACCAAAACATCACCCACTTAGGGATGAAAGTATGATAAATCCACATCATGGCATGGCAGTGAACCTCTAACTCAATGCGCTGTAACAAGAGACATATTCTTGTAGGACCTTGACAGTAAAACGTCTCATCTATGTATTGCAAACAAACAAACAGTCGTGCAGGTGGAGCAGACAAAGCAAGGTGTCCACTCTCCTCTCTCTCCCTCTTCCACATCAGAAGAGGGTCTGTATCTATGGTGTGTTGCCACGGCTTCCCATGGGTAACGTAGCTCTATTTTTAAAACGACAGGGTCACTGGGAGCTCTCGTTCAGTGGCAGACAACAAACGACACACACACACACACCTGCACGTACACGGAGACAGAACTCACATTTTCTATTCCTTTATAGTCGTCTGCCTCTCTGCACAGAGACAATCGTGAAGCTCGCCGCTCATAAAACACAAACCACTGTGCTTATCTCTGCACGTGCAGTGCCACCTCCTGCCCTTCTAAGGCATTGATTAAAATGGACACGCCTGATAAAAATGATTGAAATGGAAAAGCTTTGTCTATGCCAGCTGCGACTGGAACAGCACAGTGACGACGTGTGCAGTGCTTTTGGCAACAACTCCAGAGCCTTGTTTGTCGAGGAGAGAGGTTGTTTAAAAGAAAAGTGCTGCTCTGTGTTAAGGCTCAGAGATGCTCTAACGATAGCAAGTGAATGTGCTTCTGTGTTTTACGGAGACAAAATGAAGAGGCGAAAAGTTTTGCACTATACTGCGGTGTATATACATGATTTACGGTGACATCTCTGACTATTGCACAACACATATGTACAGTATTCTACATCAGTGGGGAATGCAGGGGTAGAAGGAGATCCACAGTTTTATGAAGACCCTACTTTGACTGGTTATTATTGCTGATGCATGATAGGCACAATGAACTTAAAGATGTAATGTGCTTGTAACACTGTTTACACTATCAGAATCACTTATTACATACTGTTGTGGATGTATTTATAATCATTTTGTTTTCTAAGAAATGCTCTCATACAATTTTTTTCTGAGTCTCCTTCCATCCTATCCCCACAAATAACAATCCTTTACAACTGAACCAGAATAAGGTTGAGGATCTCCTATATCTTGGAACATCCAACTGTCTGAAAAATAACCTTCTCTAAACTGGTGACACATGGGATTGCGGTTCAGTACAATGTAAAGCCTTTTAGTGTTGCACACATCTTAACCTCAGCCAGAGCTATTACAAAACAAAGCCTGTATCTAGTCAGTATCAGTGGATCTTTCTAAGCTTCATTCATCCCTCAATTCCTTTCTCTGCCCCCCTCTCTAATATGTTGACAGATGGAAAAGGTCATCATATCAGGGCTGGAAAGAAGGGAAGAGCCACAGGTAAGAAGCGATGGTGCAGAAAATAAGGGATTCAACTCTGGGGGTTAAGGAGTTATGAACGCTGCAACAACCAGCAGTGAATTTTCTCTCCATCTTGACTTCCTCTGTTCCTCCCTTTCTTTCTCTATCTCCCTCTCTCCAAGCAGGGCCGGGGTTCAATGGACGGGAGGATCTATGAGCTCAGTGGATCATAGCTCAGACTCGGGTGAGCCGATGTTCTGGTAGCTCGTCTTAGTGTTGGTGCCATAGTTGGTGTTGGTCATCTCCTGGGTGCCGCCGGGGCCCAGGTAAGCGCGGTGGGTGGGCATTGGAGAAGGAGCCTCGCTGGGGTTCATGCTGAGGATGAAGCGCTGCTCATCTTGCTCTTCGAGGTTGGAGATGTCCTTCATCATGCCTTTACGGTAGGATACGGACAGCTTGTTTGAACCGTCTGAGATCAGATTGAAGTGGCGGACAATGAAGACGACGGGTAGAGGCAGCATAGCCACCACGATGAGGGCGTAGGCCATGGCTAAAGCCCACGGAGGGTAGCTTTGGAAATGCTCTGCACCCTGGCAAAGAAAGAGTGCAGAGGGAAGATGAAAAGAAAACTCCTTTCTTTTGTTCTTTCTTTCTGTAAACACACATTAAACATGAGAAACTGAACACTGACCTCAGCCTCCACCCAGGCGTTGTATCCTGCAGGACTGACGGCCATCTCGATGACAGTGGCGGTGATCAGCACCACCAGGATAGCTGGTGACACATACTTCCACATGTAGAAATAAAAGGAATATGGCCTGAAACCAAGCATGTCCTCCAGGTCCTGCATGAACCTGTGAGGATGGGAAATAAATAAATAAATAAATAAATAAATAAATAAATAAATAAATAAATCCATTTCAGTGTCCCAGTTGTCCATGTCAATGAGCAAACATTCACAATACCAGAGTCCTGTAACTAGAACACTGCAACCAATCATTAGTTATTAATTACAGCTGTGCTTCTATAACAAGTTAAACTATCTGCTGTGAAAAAGTTTTATTGTTTGTTTGTTATCTGTCCTGATTTGAATACCATGTTCTGCATTTCTGCATGCATTTATCACAGACTGGTAAGATCTACGCCACTATCAATAGATGATGTTCTTCAATCTTGTATGCAACTTCAATCACATTCACAACATCTAAAAAATCAAAGTTTGAATTTTTATTTCAAAATATGAAATATAAATTTTTAAATATATAACAATGTCAATACTTGTATCAAGATCACTGTAAATTAATGCGTTAGCTTTTGTTTATGTTCAGTACCATCTCACTGTAACTCAAAATACACACAAACTTACAATCACAAACTGTCTGCGACTCACAGCGGAAGAGTCTGCCCACTTGATTACTACTGGCGTATGCTGGTGTCCCATCAGTTGGGCGACATTATCAGTTACACATTTGTTTTTCACTGATTGAAAAAATGGACTTGCGACGTGACAGCGTGTTAAAAGTGAAAATTGTCTCATGGTCAATGTGTGAAGAGTTGGCAGCCCTGTATCCAAATATGACCTCAGCCTACATATCCAGTAGAGTTACCTCTTTGTGCCGTAGATCCAGGCAACAGAGATGTTTTCCAGGATCACCACCACAGTGAGAGGCAAACCAGCTGAGTAATCGTCAAACATGGTGACAAAGTAGTTTCCTGAACGCTGCACAAACAGCAGGCCCAAAAGAAAGGCTATGATACAGCAAGCCACTGAGAAACAGGAGAAGACACATCAAATGAGAATGACAAATACTCTAACTTTATCAAGTGCAAGAGATTTTCAGTTTGATGACTGGAATCCAAAACAATTAGCTCACCACACAGAATCTCTTTCCGGATCTTGAAAGCATCCAGTATGGGTGTAGTGATGCCAGTCATGGTGCCTATCATGCTTCCCAGACCCAAGTTAATCAGCATGAAGAAGAACATAACAGACCAGAAGGGACTGGCAGGGAAATGTGTCATGGCCTCTGTGAAGGCGATGAACGCTAGGCCAGTGCCCTGAACTGCCTGGAGGACGGAGAGAAGGAGGTGGAGGGTTACACAGGTCAAAGATGGCTAATGTGCTTTTTGGAAATGAATGATTCCATGTGGACAATCACCCACCTAACTTCCTTTTCAAGGTTCATTTGTTAAAGTGCAACCACTTAAAGTGATGTACTCATCCGGAGACACTTTAAATGAGTGAGTTACTGTATATTATGCTTAAAATTCCAGCATCACCAACACAACAAGCAAAAATAAGAAAAGTGGTTTAAATTACATCAACAAACAGTACCAGTATCCAAACAGTATTTGAATATGGAATTGTGGAAATGATAGGGAATAGCTTGACCCCATTGCCTGCGAAGTCGTGAAATCAAGCTATTGAGCCTTGTAAAATCCCACTAAGCAAACTTAAAGTTCAGGATTAAAAGGAATGTTATGGAAAATACTATTTCTAATTTGATGGCAGGATACCTCAAACTTAGATTTGATGAAAAATTTAACCACCATTCTGAATTAGTATTCAAAGAAACCATAAAAACAGCACATTTGCTTCATGCTTCTGGTGAAACTAATTTAACATTAAAGTAATTAATTACTTAGCATCATGGCATTTTTAATCTGGACTTTATATATTAGGACAACGTATCACCATTTAAACATAAAATACATTTCGATAACTAAACACACTTTTGATTATTCAGAAATATTCATCTATCACATTCTCATTTCTGCTTGTGAACTCTCCCCCTCTGACCTTGTTGAGTTCATCCTCCAGCAAACAGGCATCCAGGCCCAGCTGGCTGAAGCTTTCCTCCTTCACCGTCTTAATGACACTGTACATCTCTGCGTAGTCCACAGTGGACAGGTGGGAAAAGTTAATGTGAGGAGGGATCAGCTCTTTGCTCAGTTCACCGGTGTTTAGGAAGCCCAGGATCTTCTCTGCATTGCTGTACATGGAAAAATGGACATTTGGACAAGAGGGATGTGTTGGTGAGTAAAGGCTATAGTAAAGATGGCTGCCAAAGAGCGACTGCTTTGTTACAGTGTGACATACTCACTCGACAACACACTTCTCGTTCATGACATTTGCCTTGAACCCCAGGACAGCAAACACAACTAACGTGGCCAGAATGGAGGTAACAAAGTTGATGATGGAGACCAGTGTTGCGTCAAAGTGGCAGTTGTTGTCCCGCTTGTTGTAGCTGGAAAAAGCGATGACGCCGCCAAAGCCCAGCCCGAGAGCAAAGAAGACCTGCGTGGCTGCTTCTCTCCACACCTGCGGCTCCAACATCTTTTCCAGCTAGCGCCAGGAAAGGTTGGTGACAGATTAGGTCATATATATTGTCATTTATCCTCTTTAAAAAACCCTTGTTCATGACAATATTTAATATATATCCTATATCTGCCACCATTTTTTCACAGCTGTCCCTTATCTTATCTCTATTATAAGTTATCTTTGTTGTTTTAATAATTCCTACTACTATAGTAACAGAGAAACCCATGTGTTTACTTCTGTTGCAATACACTGCACTATGAAGTGAGTCTTCAGCTTCATCTGAGCTCTGATGATGAAGTTAATCTCACAGTGTATTGCAAAGGCACTAAATCTCTTTACTACTCTCCCTTGACATCTGATGTCAGTACATGGCCCGACTACGACATAACTCACATTGCATCATCATATATAAAGTAATTGCATCATTTTATTTGGTGTCCATTTTTCCATGTAATGATACATATTGTCCACTAGAGGGACACATCAATCCAACACATGACACTGGATGTTAATGACATTTTCATATGTGTGGATATGAATGGCCTTGGTGGTAAACCATTAAGCACTCATGGCTGAACAGCTTGCATAGACAAAGTGTCACTCATGTTACATATTTGTCTGGCTAACAATCCGTGAATGAGTGAGCAAGTTTAAGACTACATTTTCCCCTCCAGCGCACCACAATTACATTAATTTTTATTGTTTTTGGTCAAAATCATCGCTGTTTTTTCTCTCACCTTAGGGGTGAACATGTGAGCGATGCCATCCACTGCTCCCTTCAGCATCAAACCTCGCACCAGGAAACAGAAAAGCACCACATATGGGAAGAGAGAGCTGAAGTACATCACCTGAGAGAGAGAGGGAAAGAGAGAGAGAGAGAGCGTCAAGTACATTACAAAGTGTTGCCATGGACACGCTTTTCGGAGGCCTCGCACATAAAGGAGGACCAAAATGTAACCACGTTCGTGCGCACACACACACACACACACACACACACACACACACACACACACACACACACACTCACACGATGAATCAATCCCCAAACTGCTTTGTGTTAGCTTGGCACTCTAAATGTGGAGAGGACTCCATGAGGGTTTGGAAAGATGAGTCAAAAATCCTTCCTACAGCATTACGGGGAACCATCGCAGTACTGATTATGATAATTGGATTACTAAATTTAGTGTTTAAAAAACCGTGTCAGACCTTGGCGATCCGTGTATTTTCCTATTGAAAATGCGGGCTGGATGTTGCACTGTGGCTTATGACTCACTCTCTGGATCGAGATTACTGGATGTTGTTGCAGTTGTTGCCAAACGGAGCATTTTCCATCTGCATCCTGAACTGGTCTTTGCTTGGTTCAGTTTAAGCTTATTAATGTTGCATGTGTCTCTCTTTTATAATATAGATGAGAACTAGAAATAGATGAGAACCAAAAATAGATTAGTGCTGATGACAGGCTTTAGCATCTTACTTTTGACTGAAACGCATTAGCAAAGTGAATAAAACACTCACTGATATGGATGAATCATCTATTAAAAACAGAATTATAAAGCTTTTGTTAAAAATTATTTATTGTGTGCATCTTTACACAGACTCTATGGTGTGGTAATTTCTATAGTTTGTGTGCTTGGACCCTGCTGTGAAGCCATGGAGACCCCGTACCTTCCCAGAGGATTGGATACCCTTGATGACAGCCAGGCAGACCAAGATCCAAGCCACCAGCAGGGACAGGGTCATCTTCCAGTTCAGGCCCCCCGTGTCGTCAATGGAGCTGGTGATGTTGAGAGTCTGGCGGTACCAGAAGTAAGTGGTGGCCGAGCTCTTCTCACACTCCGGCACCACGACTACAACAGTAACAAGGAAATGGAGGAAAACAGCACAAACTGTGTATTCATATGTAACAACTATTTTAAAGAGGTGGTATTATGCTCATTTTCAGGTTCAAAATCTTATTTAGGGGTTGCACCAGAACAGGTTTACATGGTTTAATTTTCAAAAAACACCATATTTTTTCTCATACTGCACATTGCTGCAGCTCCTCTTTTCACCATATGTGTTGTACGCTATGCTCCGCTCTTGAGCTACAGAGTGATGCATCTTACTTGTACAAAATCTTTGTTGGGAGTTGCACATGCGCAGTTCCCAGGTAAGGACTACTGGCCAATCAGAAGCAGAGAAGGGCGGGTCGTGAGAAACAAGGTAGTGTGATCCAAATCAAAGCCGCTTCAGACTGCGACCGTAACCTAGCACATGGTATAAGTTACTCAAGTCCACAACCACACAACATCATTATTTCACATCTTACCATTAGGACTAAACGTTGAACTGTTTCCAGTGTTCTGACGATCTAACGTTATGCTGCCTTGCGGAAAAATGCTACCATAGAACAAATCCATAGACTCGACTCTACTCGGCCCTGCTCTGTTTTCCATTGCAGATAGTACCCAGAGATAGTACGTAGCTTGTCGTCATAGCGACGCCACACACGCACACAACTGCTGCAACGTGATGTTCAATGCAACACACACACGAAACGACCCACACAGCTTTCTCTTTTTTAAGTTAAAACGTTTCAACATTCCTCAGAATGTAAAGACAGATAAGCGGTATGAAAACCTTCCAGCTGTGTTTTCCTCTGCCGTTGTTGCTGCAGCGGTCTGTGAGACGGCAGGAGCAGAGGGCTCTGTGAGCCGGCCTCACGCGCTCCTACCGCGGGTTGGCACAGGCTTCCCCCGCAGCCACTTGTAGAGCTCCTCAACTCCGAAAATATTCAAGCACATTTTTGTTCCGCCATCACTTCTCGTAAAACTGTCAATATTCGAAATCTACACAGCTGATTTCTCACCTCAAAACTTCTCAGAAGTGGATTTAGTGATGAAATTCCATACGAAAACTGTAAAACTTTCTGTTGCTGGCCTCTGTCTGGCACACGCAATGATGATGCTGTGAATAGTGAATATTCTCTCAGACCAATCAGCAGTCTGTCGTGTTTTCATGTTACATTTTAGTATCCCTCAGCTCGCCTGGAACTTTGACGGAGGTGAGGTGAAAAAGTACCTGGAAGCAGGTACAGGTGCAACATTTCTACAATGGAAACTCAAACAAAGGCAAGTCGATCGAGCCAAAGGGCCTCCGCTCAGACTAGCTTGGTCTGAGGGCGTGACTGACCCCGCCAGCTGCTTGGCAAGCTTTATGATGCGTTTTCATTGTGACGTCAAAAGTAAAGGAAGTGAAGGGCTGGACAACAAACGAGCTGTTTTCAAGCGGTTCAGAGCAGAGCTTTCTGTGGGAGAAGGGAACTCCCTTTGGGCTGGACTTTGGGCTTTTTCACTTTGCAAACCTGTTACATGCACAAAAAAGAAAACTCAATAAAGGAGAGGGAAAAAGCCCAAAAGCATAATACCACCTCTTTAATGTTTAGCTTGTCAAGGTTTAGCTAATTAAACTATAACAATTGCTCCCATTTTTAAACATACACTGGACAATTTGTATCAATTATTGAGTCAGACATGCCTCACTTTCTTAAAAGAAGAAAAAAAGTTTGATTCAAGACATAAATCAAAAAGTAAGTGTCATTTTTTTGATTTTATGCAGCATTATTCTCTCTTATTTCAAGATATTAGTGATCATTTCAAAAATTTTAAATACTGTAAGTTAATTCATACTAGAGTCAGGAATTTCCACTAAAAATCTCCTTAGGTGCCCTGTGGAGTTGGAGTTTCCATTCAGTGTTGAGCGCATTTCCTTCTTTATAAAATTTTGCAAAGCAGATTTTTAAAACTTTTGTTTACAGCCATGTTTGCTAGCTTGCAGTCATCTTCTTCCCACCAATTACAGGAACGTGCATCGTGTCACCCGGGTGCATGTGCACATGTGTCTTTGTGTGGGTGCATGAGGCGAGAAAAAAATGGGCACCCACTCGGTAAAGCAGCGCTCCAATGCGACTAGTCAAAAACTTCACAGGGTACCTTTAATCTGCAAAGTAACAAGCACCTGTAATGTTCAGATAAATGTAGTGCTGTAGAAAGTAAAACAGTTAAAAGTAGCACAAATAAATACCAAAACAAAGTATGTGTACTTCATAATTGTACTTAAGTAAATTAATTGAGTAAATGTACTTATTTATACTTCACTTTTCACCTCTGCACATAGCTTAACTAAATCCTACTGAATGCTCCACAGCATCGCCGCTGCATTGATAATCATAAGCAGAGTCGACATCCTGCCCTTGAATGCTAATGGAAGCTCATGCCCTTTTCTCTGCCAGAACTTGCATGTGCCTCCACCACAGGCCAACAGCTGCCAGCCATTCGAGGTACTGACTCTGTCGTTCGGGTCATACCATCTGACAGGCCTCGCCAACAGAGCTGCACTGTAGGATAAAGTGCAGGGCCATCTCGGCTATAGAGCCGGCACAAACAATTTTCTGTTAGCCTGCAGAGACACTGCTGCTTGAATGCAGAGCTACAGCGAGGCAGGCTGTTTCAATGCAAAGACACGTTCTGCAGCTTTAAGCAACGCCCTGCATAGCACTGGGCAGCCTTGTATCTGCCTTTGCTCAGATATGCTGCTGAATTTGAAATTGTCTTGCAGGACTCTATTAATTTTTCCTCTATGTGGTGTCGAGTGCTTTACAATAAAAAGCCGTATGGTCGCTTGTCCTTTGCCGTACATCGCTATTACAGTTTCAGATGTGTTGTGCGGTGCATTGTGTTGCACACTCACTGGCTTGGGTTCCATTTCTCTCGATGGGGCATTCAGCCCATGGCAATGGATACTGGAACGACTGGAAGAAATAGAAGATGCTCCAGCCGATAATCACATTATAATAGAGGCCCACAAAACCGCAAACCTGAGTGGAAATGAGAGAAAACAGCAGTATTTATCACTCTTGTATACAATCACTGTCTCACCACACACATATAAAACAAAAACAGCACAGGGGACAAATAGTCATGCAGTTTGTTGAGGTGAACGCCTCTTCTTGAGTCAGGGCAGAGACGCTGAGCACACAGCTTAAGTCAGAGTGCCTATAAATTATTGAGCTGTTTGCTCTCAGAAGCCAAGGCTGGGGTCTCTATGAGAAGGTATTTATAGCTGCTAAATCTCCCTCTGCCACATCCGAGCTGCCACACGCCTCACTGCTCCAGACCAGGCCTCTCCCTCCCTTTGTTTGCACTAGATTGATGAAATCACTATCAGAAAATCTGACGCGGTAGATCACTGACTGACCGACTCTGAATGACTATGTTTTAGGCTGATGACGCTGATGGGATGGGGCCATGATGGGTCACCACTCCTGCAGATGATGGGGACAGATTATGACAGTGATGGGCGCTGGTCTTTGCATGCCGCTTACTGTAAAACATCAGGAGGAAGTAACATGAGCAGACAGAGGTAGTCCAGTAAACTGAGCTCTACAGCACGATGGGTGTCTCTGCACATGTCATGTCTAACTCTGAGTCAAGAAGTTAGAGCGAGAAAATTATCAAATTATCTTTGATCCAGCACCAATCCAAAAACATGGACTTAGTGTTTCAGGATCTTGGTTCCAAACGCACACATCATTTTGTCAAAGCCTGCTGTGAGCACGTATGCAATTATTATTACCACATTGTTACCACATTACTGTTTGGCATTTCATAAAGGGATCATAATTTGTCACTGATTGGTTTATTAATGGTTAATCAATTGTTTATTAATGCTTAAGAAATCATTGATAAACCATTAAAAACAAATAAATAAAAATACTTTTTGGTTTGTCAGTTTGTGAGCCTGCAAAAAGCTCTTTTGGTTGGTGTATATCTTCTGTAACTGTAGCTCTGTTCATTGTTTTACAGTCTCTGGCCAAGTGTAAAAAAAATATGTCATGGGTTTTTACACTAATAATAAGACATCAAATATTAGTAGGTCATTAATACATCAGCCTTCCTACAGAAGGTAGACACTCAAACAGTTTAATGAGACAGACTCCTTTACGGATACAAGAGACAGGTGAGTGGAGCCGCAACTGTGGTCGACTTGAATTTGTATCACTTGATATAGATTCCAATTGGAAGTTTTCATGCAAGAAAAATTATCAAAATGCTCATAGAAACACTCCTGCAGCAAAATCCACTTCACCACTGGACGTTTTCCACTGTTAAAAAAAACACTGGATTACACTGTAATTGGCACGATTTCTTGCTGACCTTGTGAATGAAACTACAACCATTTAACAGCCATCATTTAAGCCTACAGAGGTTGTAGTAACTGATATTTCAACAACAAGATTTTGAGTGTGTGCAATATCACTTTACATGTGGGGTCACAATCTGGCCAGGAAAATGTTCTAATTATGCATTAAAACATCTTACTCACCATCTCTTGGGAACAATGGAGAGAGAGCAGCAGGCACTCATTAATAAATAATATAAATATTTACTACTGGATTTTTACGATGGATGGATCACCATTAACTTGGGACAGACCATCATGACTTGCAATGCCTTTATTTAGCTATTTATCTAGCGCCATCATCAGGTCAAAATTTCAATTTATCATCAGCCTCAGCTGCATTTGTGTTTAATGCTGATTTTAAAATGTTAGCATACTAGAATGCTACATTAAGATACCATTTTTTGTTAACAACCGCTCGGATTCACATCTATGACTACATTTTTCTCCATGGCGAGGGTGGATAAGGCTCATAGGCACAGTATTATTTTGAGTTGTCCGCCATGCCAAAATGATGGATAAAACATGATTTCTCAGAAACAACGTTGAAATAATTTAAACTGGTGGTCCTAACGTATGTGATCGTTACAGTATCAGTACACAGGCAGTCCTGTGTTTCTATTTTAGACAGTGCTGAGGATGTTGTACTGCCCTTTCCACCGTGAAACTCTCTTTTGCCATTTTGTAAAGTGCGACCAGCGTTATGAGTTAATTGGTTAACGAGTTCTTGTTGGCCCTTACCATGAGACTGGAAACCCCGATGCCTCCCAGCTGTGGGTAAACATAGTTCCACACCCCGATACTGCCACGCCTGATCCTCTGACCCACCGCCAGCTCCAAGAAGAACAAGGGGATGCCGATGAGGATGAGGAGAATAAAGTAGGGCACCAGGTATGCACCTGAGACAGAGGAGGAAGAAAGAGGAAAGAGTCATTACTGCAGAGTGTATAGCTACTTTGGACTATCTGAATATTTATTTGCTCTATGTTTGAAATCCTCGCCCTATGCTAACTGGGATTGGCTCCAGCCCCCCGCGACCCTGTACGCAGGATAAGCGTTTGACGATGGATGGATGGATGGATGTTTGAAATCCATGTACAGAAAAGCTCATTGTAAAAGAGCAGACGGGACGTTGTTACATTTTCTCTGTCAGGTTCTATTTTTGGTCTATTCTCTTCATCCCCTACCACACTAATTCCCCTTCTCTTTCTCTTTTCTCTTGCACGGTTTCTCTTTTTTACCCTCTTCCTTGTCACCGTCAGCTTCCATTCACCACATTGTCAGATATGACCATCTTTTGGGAACAATGGAGAGAGAGCAGCAGGCACTCAAAGACAACAAGTCACGTCCAGTCCTGCTTACGTCAAGACACGAAGCAGCACCATGGTGACAAAACCATCCACAGCCAGAGAGGACGAGCTCATACTAATGGACAGCTGGAAGGAGCAGCCTGTGTCCAGACTAAAAACAAATCACTGTGACGTTCGACTCGATCAAAAATACTGATCACGTTGTGAGTGGCTATTAGAGCTAGCAGCAGACAAAGGAAACAAAGACAGTGACACAGTATCATATTACAAAGTGGTATTATTATCTGGACCGTTAGAAGTGATTACTGTGTTGCTGCCTACTTTCACTGATCTTTGATGTCTATTTTGAGCAGCAGACAGCGGAAAACATAGAATATAGAAGTAAACTGTCATGGCAATTGCCTATCTTGTGGTTTGTCCTTAAGATATTGCACATTAGCAATACTGCATAGTACATGGTTACCCACAGGATAATTCCCATTAATTTTAACACCTTGACCTTTCTTCTGGCTTTCTGGATTTCTAAGGTGTAACACACACATGAGGCTGTCATATTTATGGCACGATCGTGTCAAGATATAAATCCAGATTCAGATTAACCTCAGACTCAAGGATACAGGTCTTCATGAGTGGCACAATGAGGTCTATGACAACCTGTGACGTCTGACTTGGTTTGCTCAGCCCAGTGTACAGAGCAAGTCTTTATACATTTAGGCATTTGTGTTGCCAGGTAATTTTCCCGGGGCTTCAGTGAAAGTGAATGTAGCAACAAAAAACAACAAAAATATTTTCCGTATTAATATGCAAATTTTCCTCACGTCACAGGTCTTAGAATAACGGAGGCTACTCGCAATGATATATTTTGTTTGAAGTTCATGTGATGTGACCTCCCACCGTTACTCAAAATGCCTGCATTTAGAGTGAGCACGAGAGGAGAGAGAGAGAGCATTGGTTACAGCTTCAGGGCTTATCAGCGACTAATGAATTGTCCCTAGCAATAATTTTGATCAAAACATTTGAATATAAATGTTGTAAGTCAGTGTCTTGTCAATATATTTGCTACACAAACAGTTAACAGTCCGCTGCAAATTGGGGAGAGAATAACATGACACACCTGACCGCGACACAGACACCTGTCGCTCTCTTTGCTGTCTCTGTCCGGCCTCGCCCCCTTTGCTTTCTCTGGGACTGTCTCTCTGGGACTGTCTCTCTGCTCCTGGATGCCTAATTCTCTCTGAAGCAGCTGTGAGCTACCCTTTATCAGAGGACCTGAAGTTAACATTTGCGTGGATGTGTAGTGAGATTTCTGTCTGATCAAGTGTTTCGGTTTTCCACCTCTGATTAAGAACAGTGTGCTCGTCTCATCCAGTACAGTCCCTGACAGGCTCTGTGTCAGACGGTCTGAAGGGGATAGCCTACTACCATATCAGCAGAGCAATATTGCAGGGTAATGTACAGCAGAGGGGCAGGTAGATTTTGTTAAAATATTATGACTTAATTCTTATTAGATTGCGATTTTATTCTCGTATTATTACACTTTTATCTATATTATTCTGCAAATGTCAGCTAACACAGATATGTGGGAGAGATATTTAATGTGCAGAAAATTTTAAACATGAGCAGAAAACCTGCTGAAACACAGGAGCTATTAATGTGCTGGGGTTTATAACTTAAAATCAATTGATTTATCAATGACAACAAGCAGATTTACAGAAGTCCATTCAGTCATGCCTACATTTGTGTTTGGGATGAAATAAAATGAAAAAAGTTGATCTACAGCAGAAAGTATATCTGACAGCCATACAGAAAGCCTGACAGCCATACAGAAAGCCTGAGAGCTTTACTGCATTTTATTACACTATATTTTTTATGTTTGTTGTATCTTTCGTAATGAGAAAACCACATTAGGATTAATCCAATCATTGTTGAATTAAAATTTAAATTAAAATTCATCTCTTCCGAGAACACTTCCTCTTATAACACCTCTAACCCTTAACATGCACTTCCTGTGCTCTTCTTCTTCTATCTCCTTAAAATTCTTCTATTGACTGCACTATTCGTTACTTCTTCCCCTAGGTGTTTACCCCATGGATGCCGTACACTCTAATGGCTCTTAATAGTGGCTATTGTCACTTGTAGATCTCTTACGTTATTGATGCTTGTATGTTGTTTCTTAAATGTATGTCACGTTGAATAAAAGCCTTGGTCAAAAAAAGTAAATGTAAGTTAATGTATGTGTAAGTTTGTTAAAATAATAATGGCCAGTTTAAAGGAACTGAATATTTACTGTGAGTGTGATTTACTTGTCATTTCCATCTTAATTGTATTGTATTTGCCCATTACTGAGCAATACATGTCACTGTTCACTTATTTTATTTCTGTTATATTTCAGTGTAACGTCCTTGAGGCTTCATCACAGAATAAAGAAAAGTCTAAAACGTCTCTGGCACCATCTTCATACCAGTCAATAAATATTAATTGCCAGATGTCAATCAGTTCCTCTTGGGCCTCCTATTATAATTCCAGTGCCATCATTACTTCGCTTTCACAGCCTCATAAAGAACATTAAAGCCACTAGACAACACTAGTGGTTTTAGTTGTAATTAATACAAATAAGGCAGAGAAATTAGACCTTTGGCTGCCACTGCTTCACTGAGGCAGACCAGGTATGTTAAGAAAGCCTGTCAATGTGTTCTGTTTCCATACGTTTTATTTTGTTGTGGGCTACATAACATTATTTTGCTTTATGATTGATTGTTGTTATATTTTCTTTTAAGATGAAATAAAACCGTTTTGATGAAAGGCCATAAAGTAACCCTTCACTTAACTAGAAACGGTGAGACAGACTGAGGAAGAGAAAGTAATGGACAGGAGACAGAGACAGTTTGTCCACATCTCAGGGACAAGCTCAGGCAAGACAATGCAACACCGCCCACCGAGTCAAAATTCAGTGGGGGATACAGACTCATCATGCATGCATGCACACACTGATTAAAATGATCCAGCTTTGTTATATCATGCATTTCAAATACCCTCTTTACACACACCTCCCACACAAGGTAGAACCAACAATGTCTGAAAGCCCAGGAAGTCAGTGTTTACCCTTCCACTTCCTCCATCTTAGTCATCACCACCCTCTAGTCTCACCGTGAAACCAGTAATACCAAATGGATAAGGCTGAGATACCTGCAAATAAAGCAAATAAAGACTAAACTGGAGGATCTCACATCATTATGCCCAACTTTTAAATGTTCCCTTTGCTGAGGATCTTGTAGCTGCTGACAGCACAAGTTCACAGTCTGAGAAATGTTGAAGAGGATGCCCCTCTGACTTGCACGATTAGTTGGCTAATTGGTTGACAGGATGCTATTTATCAAGGAGGAGGAGGTTGCTGCCCCATCAGCTGGAAAACGGAGCACCCTTTTGAGGTATTAGTTCAGACCCGTATCAACACACACGTAAAACAAAATTTTTCATAACTCATTTTGTTTTCAATTGCAATCTGCTTAGAAAATGATTTGGAAAACAGTATGTTTTGAAATTATAACATAGGGTGATATTTTGGGCAGGAGGCAGACGGACACCCGCAGCTTGTGAGAAGTGCCGGTATGCCAAAGAGTAAAATGTAGGCTTAATAGTGCAGGTACTGACCAAAGCAATGCAAAAACGCACACAATGGATACCAACTGTAGTAAGCAAATTCAAAATCCCTGACATTTTGGCCGATTTAGAAATCAGACATATTTTTTAGGTCCCAAAAAGAGGACATGTCCGGGAAAAAGAGGACGTATGGTCACTCAGATATGATCATATAGCATAATATATGATTCTGCCAAAAGTCAATATATATTATTGAATTATTTCCTAGTCTTACAGACTGTAGTCTAGTCTTACAGACTGTAAGACAGACTAGACTACAGTATGATAATTGTCTTTCTTGCAGAAAGTTATATGAGAAGATTGATACCACTGTCATGTCTAAGTGGTAGATAATGAAGCTACCACCATCATCCAATAAGCTTAGCTTTGCTTAGCACAAAGACTGGAAACAGGGGGAAAGGATAGCTTAGATCTGTCCAAAGGTAACTAAATCCACCCACTACCATTGCCAAACTCACCAATTAACATTTAATTTCTACATAAAAACAAAGCTTCAATTCAACTAGCGGTGTCCGGCAGTTTTCAGGCTAGCTGTTTCCAGTCTTTGTGCTAAGCTAAGCTAACTTGCAGCTGGCTGTACTGTAACTTCACGTTTACAGTAAAGACAAGAGAGTGATTTCAATCTTCTCATCTAACTCTCACCAATACAGTGAATAAGTGCATTTCCTGAAATTATTAGGCTACTTTAAACAAAATTAATGAAGACAGAGGCAGAGAATATATGCTCTCGGTACACAAATTATATCAATCAAATTCTGGTGTCTTACAAAATCCACCAATAATAATAATAATGAGAAGGTGATTTAAACCAACATCAAAGCAAAATTTACAAGAGATTTTCTTTATCACATCCTGGATGATTTTAGATAATTTTGTGTAAGCACTGTCTTTTCACTACACCGTCTAAAAAGCAGATGGTTAATGGTTCGGCATAATGTTGAAAGTCTGTCTGGATGGTGTTGAGATGTTGTGGCAAACTGGACAAGTGCAGAATTTCAGGTGTTTGAAACTGTCGACACACTGGTCTGTCCTTGGGTGTAATGTTTACATGCTGGGAAGAGTAATTGGGTTAGTGCTGTGTGTGTGTTAGTGTGTGTGTGTGTCTGTGTTTGTGTTTGTGTGTGTCAGGTACAACAACAGACAGAATATTCAGAACAGTACTTATTGAGTTTATCTGGTAGAGGGAATAAAAGCAGAATTAGTTGAAGTTGCTGAAGTATTACTTTCTCTAATGTGATGCAAATGAACATTTCATGAGATAGAGCAATACAGCATTACATTTCATGCCAATCACAGAGACCAGTGGGCACTCGCAATCAAATCATGTCTCAGCAAATCACACAGAACAGTATCCTGGACAAGACTGTAGACGGGGAAAATAAAAATCCCATGCTCAAACAAAAGGATAAAATCAAAAGCGTTACGTGCTATTGACTTAAGTACTCCCATCTGGCAGCTTATTCCATTGAGGATTTTACAGAACTAATAAAAAAAAAATCACCTTAACAGCATTGACTCGGCACAACATGTCTTGTCAGCACCCTGCGGGGACACATGTTCACTATGGGTGGCCTAATTAGGAACTGACTTCCAAACCGAGGAAGTGTTACTGTGCTTTGCACATTGGACTACACAAAACCTCAGGTTTCTGTGATTCAGACACTAAACTGTTAAAATGCTCCAAAATCATGTACAGACATCTGTCTACCTACCTCCGCCGTTCTTCTGGCACAGGTAGGGAAACCTCCAGACGTTACCCAGGCCTACGGAGAAGCCCACCTGGGCCAGGATGTACTCAAGCTTGTTGTTCCACGCCGGTCGGCCGTCCTCGGCATCTGGGTCAGGGGAGGGTAGCAGGGCCTTTACTGGAGCAGTAGAGCCAGGACTCAGACCCATACTCATCTGACTGCTCTTATAGTCCATGGGGTGCTCCAGGGACAGCAGGTCAGCCACCGACTCAGTGACTGGCTCATTGCTGTGCTCCCGCTGGGTCACCTTGGTGTTCTTTGGCATGGCTGCAACGTGGGAGCTCCTTCAGGTTGAGGCTGGTGGAGGCAAGCGGAGAGCCTGGGTTGACTGAGGGAGATCAGGAGGAAGCAGGGAAAGCAAGTTGTGCTCTTTTTCTTAAATCTGTGAAGAGAAGGGATTGGAGACAGGAAATGTAGGTGCTTTGGAATAAGTGATCCTGTTCCTAAAATATAAAATGTAATTAGAACAACTCTTCTCATTTAAAAAAACCCAAGCTTTTCTGTAACTGTTTTCCCCTCGTCATTAGGGTTTGCTGAGTTTGAACCTTTGGAAACTAACAACATTGAAAACTAAGTGAATGACAGATGGAGAACGGAGAGATGGCTACCATCAAAAAAAAAAAGGTTTCAGCAGTTTGATTTGCTGAGTTTGTTTCTGATGAACCTTGAACTGGCTGTATGTCTTGGAAGATTCAAATTAAGTCATGCAGCAGATTTCATACACATTATTTGACTTTTTTGTAAAAACGGTTCTATGGTTTTAAACAAAGAAAGAAATGTGGGATTTTAAATGCTGGTTGGACATTAATAAATAAATTAATCAAGGAAATAATCAGATTAAGCGATAATGAAAATGATGATTAGTTGCTGCAACATCACAGGAAAACCCGTTCATTAGCCGGACATGCGACATGTAATTTTGGTTTTGGTCATGTGGACTGCCTATTCTGTTTTCTAATTAGAACAGATAGTATTTTAAAATGGCAGTAAAACTGGAACTCTTTAGAGGCATAAGTGAGGTATTTTAAAAAAAATCCACTTCATTATAGTGAATGAGACACAAAGATTGAATTACAATCACAGCAGAACCCATTATCCTAAATTTGAGTCATGTGAATAGCATGAACACCAATGAGCAGTTTGTGAGAAAGTGCAATAAAAATAAAGCTTCTAAAAAACAGGTTTCAACAGTTATTAGCATCCATATTTTCTTTCTCATCACACAGCTTCAATGTCTGCAGTTTGTTTTAAGATTTCAGAGGCTGTGATGAAAAGTCCAGTAGTCCAGTGCCTAAAGAGAAAACGTGTCTGGAAAAGTTAGCCTCTCCAAGTTCTCTGGAATGTGTTACCTTTTCAGAGGCCCTTTGCATAAATCCACTAATAATCCTACAATCCCGTTTGTAAGGCCTCCCTCGAGGTATAACAGCACAGTGTAAGAGCTCCTGTCAGAAATTATAGAAGGTCTGATTCTCCTAAACAAATGAGGATTTTACATTTCGTCATTGTTTTAGCAACGGTGTTAAGCCACCCAGATCCTGACACATCTTGTCTTGTGATCACTTAAGTTAGTAGACAGCGGACTAAATAAAAGATGTATTGATTAAAAGAGTACTCCACCGATTTAGTATTGCACTCCTTTGTCATTGTCAGATTCAAGATACAGTGTAAAGGTTCGAGTGTGTTATGCTAGTAGCTGGAAATGTAAGCCTCAAGCAGAGCTCACTTATTTTTATTCCACTCCCCAGATTTTTTTAATTTTCAAACTTGCAGTTTTAAGCTCCAACCATCACTGACTCAAGTGACTTCACTAGAGGCAGTTTGTTAGACTTATCAGACTTCCTGTGGAGCCACAAAAGGCTTTTGCTGTCCAAACTACATGTTGTCTTGGATAATGTCTCCCACCCACTCCATGACTTGCTGCTCAAACACAGGAGCACTTTCAGTGCAAGACTCATTACCCCAAAATGCACCACAGAGCGCCACAGTCATTCCTGCCTGTGGCCGTCAAACTTTATAACTCCTCCCTTTAAGTGTCTGACACTTAGTCAGTTATTAAACTAGACCTCATTATCTATTTTCTGTCCAATATTACCTGTCTAATAATTAATGTGCAATTTTCTCTGCTACTATTTATTCACTTGTCCTTTTTGGTTCACCATAATAATTCTTAATAATTTAAATATTGTACACACACCTTTATATTTGTCTTTATTTTTTTACATTTATACTATTATATTTATATACACTTTATCTATCTACCTTTGACAAGTGCAATTGTGACAAAAGAATTTCCCCTCGGGATCAATAAAGTATTTCTGATTCTGATTCTGATTATACAACTTATTCCCACAAAAGCAGTAGTATTCCACAAAACCAAAACAAGATTTTATGTGTAATGCCCCTTAAATATGGTATTTGCAGTGAAATAGCACTTCTTTATTATGGTGTTAGTGAAGGTGGCCTTAATTTCCAGTGAGGTGGCCCATCTTGGCTGTAAAAGGAAACCTTTTAAGTAAAAATGGAAATTTGCAAGCATGAAACACTCAAAATTACCCTTTACCCTCAAAGACTGGTGTTTGAAAATGACATTAAAATCATTGTGAGACAGTTAGCATTTATATAAACTAATTAACAAAAGGTCAGATTAATGATGAATGATGCGAACAATCTTAGTTAAATGCCAAAAAAGCAGCTACAGGAGCAGGGAATGACAGAAACCAGACTTTAAAGACAGATTTTGGGTTTAGCCACACGAGATCTGACTTTTCACACTGACAGCCCGAGGGCAGAGAATAGAAGCATGAGGTGTTTGATCTGGAGACAAGGCCTTTAATCTGAAAACAGATGTGGCTGACCAAAAGCTGTGCTTTTATCCACTGTGACTTCTCAAGAATGGTTGCCAGAAGCTGCACCAGGCGCACGCGCGACACATTCCTCAACAGTGCCGGTGAGCCCCTTCAGTCACGACACGCAGCAGCTCCATGGTCAAGAGCTAAACACAGATCCTAGAACAGCAGTGATCTTTCCCACAACAGTCTAAAACTACATAATACAGAGTCATCATCAAACACTCTTTAAATGAGGTGTGAAGCAATGACGTGCATGTTTGCAACAATTTTTTTTGGCCAAGCTATGGGGATTTTAAGATGTGTAGAAAGACTGTTCACACAATGTGTTGCTCTACTTTTCTTACAGATGGAAACCTTGGTATAGTTAGTAACAAACTGTCCCATTTACTGATTATGGGTTAGGATGATTGTGCCCCGTTGAACACAAATGGTCAATAGGATTCTCACTCTGCCTTTCCAATCATGTGCAGTGAAAGTTTCCGAAGTTGATGTAGAAATACACAAGCAACTTTGAGAGTTTCACAGTATGTGCTAACACAGATGGCACATTACAGAGCCAGCAGGACTTCACACACAGTGCAAGACACTGTTACAGATTATGAGTCAGTAATCAATCATCTGAAAACAACACTGGAAACAGTGAACTCTGAAAAAGTATACTGAATAGAATATAATGCATTAAATTAGGAGTGTTGAAAATCCAAGAGAGAATTAAGGCAAAGGAGCTTCAGAGAGTGAAGAATGTATTTACATTTCAAAGAAATGGGAGTGATGGTTAAAAACGCGTGACCAACATGTACATCAGCCTCCAGGGAGGCATATGTGTGATACTGCTGCGGGTTCCTGGTCCTATATATCCCTAATTCTCTACAGACAGTTTGGTGTTGATTAGGCTATTTAACAGTGCAGGTTCTATGTTTTTCCTACAAAGACACCACTTTTATCGTGTCTGGTTGCTAAGCAATGGCTCTTCCTGCAAAATTGAAATCCCATCCCTACAGCATCAGTGGTCGCCTATCTCTCCTCTCACCATCTCAAAGGGACATACATGCCATCCCCTGATGGAGGACTGCATATAACACAGAGTTGCCATGACAGGATTGAAAGGGCGATAGATTGTAGCAAAGCTGCAGGTGATAGTGTGTTGTGGGATCTATTGCAGTGTCAGTTAGGCAGCCATCACAGAAAGACTCGTGTCTGGCTTTAAGATTTATGCAATTTCTGGATAGAAAATGGTGTCATTGTAAAGCATAAGGTTTGGAGAGATGCCACTCAGTAATGAGGAATTACTTGGCCTCCCACTGGAATTTGATCCCGAACAACACATTGATTGTGACAGGTGCACACACAGCACCTGCATGGCCACGTCCAGGCATCCTTCAGACACGTCACACAGAGGCCCATGTTGACTATCAACGTGGATATAACCTCTGATTCCTTGTCAAGGTCAAATGAATCATCTCATAATAGCAATGCGGACATGCAAACAATACCAATGTAAAGCAGCAGGTGATAGCGATTTGACAGAATTGATCACATTCGAGCCAAATTTGGCACACATGGCGCTGCATCGTCAAACGCAGAGGATTGATGAGCGACGTGCGCCGTCAATGTTGCAGCGAAATCACTGTCTGTCGGGTGACGAGGTGAAAGCTGACGTTCGTATCCATCAAGCCATTTCATTTTAATTTCAAAGAGGGTTTTTTGGGGGGGCACTACCGCAGGTTATTTGACCGATTCCCGACAATACAACAGTGTATTGGTCACAGAGAACACATAGTTCAAATTGTGAAAATGGTTACAAGAACGTCATTCTTACCTTCAGTCGTGTGCAGGATGGGCTCTAACGTCCGAGTCAGTGCGACAGTATGACTCCAAAGTGAGTGTACGGCGTCTTCATTCAGGCACTGTCTCAGTATGCAACATCTCTGCGCGCACAGAGATGCGAAATCACAGCGCTCCCAGTCACACGGGGCGCATGGTGCGTAAACTCTGACGCAGGAGCTCAACGCCTGCCACAAGTTTGGTTACTACAATAACATTAACTCGTTCAGGTAAATGTATTGCAACCGTTTATCTCGCTTGAGCGCTTTCACGATGTTCTGCAGCTCTGCAAAAATACCTGCTCGCACTACCGGTATCCACGTGGTATATGGCTGTGTTTTTTGAGATAAACCAGCTCCCCATAGGGTGAAGAAATTACTATGGCAGGTCACGACGAAGTCTGACGCAGGTTTGACTCACTCGCTCGTGCGCACGTCACAGCTGATCCTGCTAAACATCTGCAGTGTTCCCAGAACGATAATAAGAGCATCACACAGGTTGCAGCCTGCAATCAGGTAGCTACATCACACAAACTGATTAAACATGCTGCTTGTGCAAACGGTGTTTGGTCTGATGAAAATTGTATTATTATTATTATTATTATTATTATTATTATTATTATTATTATCTGCAGAAGTAGTATTAGAAATGAACAGATCTATCTGTTCATCACATTTCCCCACATTGCCTTACACTGATGGAAGCTTCCTTGACACAGTTTACCTTCATTACAGAGGCTTACTTGATCTTGGTACCTAATAGACGTATCAGAATTTGCTGTTGTGGCCACAGTGAAGTAGACTAAAACAGGTCTGAAAAGACTTCCTAATGGACGTTTCTCAAGTGTAGATAATTTGCAGCACAGTCATTTTTCTCTGTGACACCAGCATTTTATCCTGCCCATGGCTCTGTCTGCCACAGCTCCACACTCCATATTTCTTTTCCTGGCTCACTGGGTGGCTTTTTAGTTTAAGAAAATACACGTGCTGTTTTGCATGTAATTATTTGCCTAAATGTTAACAAGGATGTGGAACATTATTCAGACATCTTGAAGGTAAATGGCTTTGTCAACTTTGGGTACCCTTCAATTTGAGGTGTCAGGGAGGGTGAGAGCATCTCACAGTGACTTCCTCTCTCTGTCACCTGGACAAGCTTGGAGAGGGGAAATGAGGCTGTCAGAAGGTATGTGTCTAACAAGGACTGTTTAAAGGGATTAGAGTATTTAGCGATGTGCTACTAGCGTGTCAGACGATGAAGGATATCCACTGTTTGCTTTTCAACTGATAACATCTTGACTAGCATCATAGAATACAAGCCCAACATTTGAGTTTTGTGTCAGTGTCAAACTACACATCATGTTCCACCCTAAACACTCAAAAATGGAGGAACAAAACAGTTATGTACTTACAGTAAAACTTTTGAAAAGTGTTCCTTCAAAGGTACAATATTGTCTCTCTAAAGAGTACCTCCCAATCAACAAGCATTTGTACTCTTTTAAGTACACACCCGTACTTCTATATCTGAGTATGCAAAGTAACCTACATAAAAAAATAACATAGAGGACATCCTAACCCTGTATGTGCCAGGCAATTCTCTAATTATCTGCTTCCATCACAAGACACCCCTGAAAAACACACTCTCCTCACACACACTCACACACACACACGCACACACACACACGCACGCACGCACGCACGCACGCACGCACGCACACACACACACACACACACACACACACACACACACACACACACATAGGTAAGTAGTACCGCATCAACTGACAACATGCATACACAGTATGCTTCCTGTCTCCTTCAATTCACTCATGTGACTCACTTTCCAAGGGCTGACTGCTGGGATCAGTTGCCATGGCAACCACAGATCATATGATGGTTACTCACCCTGTGAGCATTTTTCTTTCTTTTCTATCCCCCGTCCGCCTCCACTCCTAGCACCTACAGACATTCTGTAGTACGGCTGTGAATGAGCCACTGTAGTACATCCTTCCTCCCCTGTACAACACAACTTATCACTGGGTTGGTTTTCATGCTTGCAGTTCATCAGTTCTGATGTGTGACTTGACTCGTAAACATATAGTTTATCACTCCTTTAAATGATGTAACAGTAGACAAAATGCACCCCGGCCTGCTGTCATAGCCAGAATTCTGCTGCAGTATTACTCACCTTAAAGCTTCATGAATAACCGCAGGTCATAATTCTCAGAGTGAGAGCACTGGATCATTGAGGCAAGCACTGTGGATATGGATTTTATAAATAGTGCCACAGGAAAAAATTCACTCACATATCAACACAGCTCTCCATCAATACAGCTCTGACCTGAAACAACTTGACCTTGAGCTGAGTGATTTTTATTTTTATTCGCCTCACACGGCAGAGAGTGTAGTCGAGGGAAAAGCTGCAGGGCCCTTGGATTCAGCCTTAATATTTCACATGTTGTTAAATTGGAGCACAGAATGGAGGGGTAATGAGCTGTCAGATTGGGTTGTGATTTACTGAGCCATCTATAAGAGTTTAGTTCTGTGGAGTCGGAACTGCTAAGAGCCAGTAAATAGAGAAGAGACAGACAGTCCCCTGAGACTGATTGCAGTCAAATGCAGCAATATAGTCCAAGAGGGCCATTTTATTCTGATGTGAAATCTGGCATTGGAACAGGTGGGAGATAACATGTCTCCCTACCACATTGTTCAATGGGATGGGATGTTATTCTTCAGCTTGAGAGCAAATTGTGAATGGTGGTGATGTTTATACAACTGATAATATTGTGAGAATCCTATTCACCATCAGTGGAGCACCAGCCGTATCTCCAACCTCAGGAGAGCCAGGTTGCCAGGTCACAAATTAAACATGCTGACGAACACCGGCAGGCAAAATCTGATTCGCGTCTCGGGGGGTGTTTCTGTGCAGCTGAGCCTCACAATTCAACTTCCCCTCTCTCTGCTCCCCCCTCTGCCTGCTATTAATGGTGCAGTCCCTTCTCTGTCAACGTACTGGCACCTTTGCCTACTGCCCTTCTGGGTGTGAGAGTGCCGCCACAGGAAATAAATGGACAAATGAGGAGGGAGGGATACTAGTCCCCTGACTGACTACCTGCTGCTTTTCTGTCCGTGAATAAGGGGAAAGAAAAGGCTGCAGGGGAACTGTAACCACGCTTGCTCAGGTGAAACACCAAAAGAGCACAATGACCTAAAGCCACGCTGTCCTCTTTTTGGAAATACTGATGATGCAGCAGCACTGAAAAGGTTGTGTATCTCACATTTGTTCATTAAAACTTTAAAAATCAGTTCACTGTTTAGCATGCTATAATCTTCCAATTCTTCTAATATCTCATTATGTACCTCCCTTGCCCTTTGTGTATTTGCCTTTAATCACCCATCTCTGCTTTTCAAGTGACAACAGGCTCATTAGCACTCTGGTAAAGCATCAGTCCTCTTCCTTAGATAAAGATACATACACAAAAGTCACGACCGCGAGAGGATAAGCAGGAGTATTGACACCTGTGATGGATGTGCAGCGGTAAAATCGATGGCAGAGATTTGGCCCCAAGACAGTGTAATAAACACAGAATTAAGCTGATGATGCACGATGGGCGTGATGGTTCGACACAAGACACCATCGACAGACAGCATTTATTTATTTAGTTTGGTTAAATAGCATCTGAATTTGAGGCTGTTGGATGGATACAAAGACGTCTGGCCTTCACCTAGAAGAACAGACAATAAAAACTGTTAGATAAAATCCGGGAGAGTGAATTTACTACTGAGGTAGCTTTTATGAGCTCAGAGATGTGACAGTTTGATTGATATTGCTGGAAGCAAAAATAAAATCACCATGAAATCCTGACACTAGACTTTTCATGATTCACCAGGCATTTCATCATTCAAACATCTCAAAATCGCTGATGTTTACAGCCCCTCTTGCTACGGTCCTTTCTTTCACATTAATCCAAAATGTAAACATTGTTTCATATTGGTTTAGTTCTTTAATAATGATTATTCACATTATGAGGACTTGTTGCACTGCAAACCACTAATGCCAACTTCATCCATTAGTGCCTTGAGTGCCCTGAGGTTACCCATAGCATGTGTGTATGGGTGTGTGAAGAGAGGGGGCTGCTGAAAATAAATCAGACAACTGATGTCAGCATGAGGACCACATCACGGATCGTTCTGTTCTGGTCCTTGAGGAATATGTGATGCAAGTATTGTGCAGCGTGTTTTGAGCAATTGGTATTATGGCATAAAGGCCTGATTGTGTTTTTGCTTTGCAAAAGGCGGATGCAATTATGAATGTTCATTTCCCGGGGGTAAAATCAACCAATTGTGAAATGAAACAAATGTGTTTATAATAATTGTTTATAGTTTGCAGCGCTTCCACCAGCCGCTTTAACAAATTCTGGTTTTATTGTAGCTGTCAAGGTCATAGCAAAAGAAAAACTCAAAGAGGGTTGAAGTCATCCCTGTAGATTTAGAGGTTGTAGTGTTAACACTGTCCTACTTGTCTTGTCCTCCAGTATACCAGATGGCTGTTCAGACCCCTGCTGTTCGAGGCTGTACAGATATATATATACGCAAGCAGCAAAGACTTCCCGCTAGTTCATAGATCAATGTGCATTCATCCCTATCATGCATAATGAAAACTCATTGAGCCTTGTTGGTATTAATGTGAACGAGACAGATTTCCCTGATATAGAAACAATAAAAAATCAAGTGGGAGCTGTTGTTCGACAGGGTTTTGAACCGTGTGAGTAAATGTTAACTCACATTATTGAAAGTTATGATTACAGTTTTTGCTTTATTAGGCAACATGGCTACATATAGAGCCTTTACTACATCTGCAGTGCAGTGATTGTGACTAGAGGACTATTTCTAAACACGGTGACATGATATACCAAAACTCCACAGACCCTGTGAAAAGTCCACCTCAGACTGGACAGTTCTTAGCCACCTCATGATGACTAATCCACAGCGACTGGTGCCAGAAGGGTATTGCAGCGCTTAAAGAAACAGAGCATGCACCGTGTTTTATGTAACAACATAAAAGAATGAATAAAATGTTTGCACTGTAGCTGTTGTGACCCTGTCAGCAGCATTTTTGTCAAACAACCGGAACTTCCTGAGGACGATCGGGATGTGCTCATTTGTGTGTGTTGTGGGTGTGCATCTATCGTGGCTGATGGTACTTTGTACAGCTGTATTAACCAAACTTCCTGCATTTCTGCTGTCTCTTTCTCTCGGTTAAACAGCCTCCACCACAGCAGATGCTGCAGTACAATTAAGAACAGAGATCTGAAGGAGGTCTTTCTTTGTCATATTTCTCTAAAATCCACTTTCACATCAT